TATATATACATATATAATATTCTAAATATACTTAATATATATATACATATATATATAATATATGTATAATAATTCCCTGTAGTAATGTTACATTTCACAATAAAAGTGTAAAGAAAAAAATGGGGTAAACATAAGTGTGGTCCTTAAATTATAGCACCAAAAAATAAATAAAATGTAAGAATTTAATGGAGATGAATTACACATAACCTGCACAGAGCTGAAAAGAGAAAAAAAAAGGAAATGGGAAACCAAAAAGGTTGAATGTTAGATTTAACTAGCAGGTTTCTCTTGAGTGAGACTTCTGTCATGAGGGGCAAGGCATGAAACATAAACACAATCAGTATCCCTATCAGTGTTTACAGACCCAGAAAGTGATTGCTTGGCTGAAAATCAGGTGAAACACAGATCAGTCCATAAAATGCAAAAGAAACACCTTTCCCCAAATGATTCATTCAACTTCAGAAACAGGATGATCAGTTACTTGGAAGCAAAGTATTTCCATTAAAAACAGGGTCTGGAACTTGGACAAACAAGGTTGAGTCGAGTGGTGCTGTAGAATGATGGCTGGAGTTCATAGGCTGTAAATGTGTTTTCTCATCTTCCAGATGGACATGAGGATCGTTAGCTTGTATGTATGAGCAAATTGTTAGTAAACCCATAAAGATAAAATAATTTCAGGCACACTGTTAGAAAATATGAAATCTGCCATAGAGCATACAGACCAGTAAGGTCAGGGGACAGACATGCAGGTGAGGAAGGAACTGAGGGCGGCGGGCATAAGCACAGGTGTCCGAGAGCTCACTGGGAGGTGGGTCTGCCTGAGTCAAGAGAGGTGGGGTCATCACAGATAAGGAAACTGCTGTATTTTCTGTGGCTTCGTTGATCAACTGTATGGATTAGGTGTCCTTGGGCTAAGGCTCAGTTATAGATACAATGTATTCTCATCAACTATTCAGGAATTAATTGGTCTAAGAATTACCGTAGGACTAGAGAAGACAGAAGTTAGTGGTGACTGGTAATTAGAAAGCATTTAATCAGGGTGGTTTAGAGAAACACACCCTGACCTGATAGCAGGGACTGTGTGAATGGATATAATGGGAACGATAAGGCCTCATCAGAGACTATTGTGCAAACTTGAGCTCAAGAAAGAGTTGCACAGTTCATGAAATTTTTATAAAAATTAATTGGACTTAAGGAGGCCTTTAAATGTCATTTTCTGTGTGCAAATAAATAAGGTTATACTTTCTCGAAGACAGCATTCAGTCCTAGGATTTATCAAAATTAACTATAAAATACAGTAAAACCTTGGTTTACGAGTATAATTTGTTCCAGAAACATGCTTGTAATCCAAAGCACTTGTATATCAAAGTGAATTTCTCCATAAAAAATAATGGAAACTCAGATGATTCATTTCACAACCCAAAAAATATTCAAATAAAAATGATTACAATACTGTAATATAATACAAAATATAAAGAAAAATAAGTTAACCTGCACTTTCCTTTGAAAACCTTCATGGCTGGTGTGGGGGAGATGAGAGGAGAGTTATTGTGTAGGACAACTTTCGTTATAACAGAATCACTGCTGTCTGTTGGCTCAATGGAATCTTTTTCTGCACGGGGGTCATTGTATATGCTCGTGTGGATATTGACTGCAGTATAATGTTAATACACTCTTGTCATATATTATGTTACATTAAACATATAAGGCAATATGGCAGCAGAGGAAAGGGTCTATATCTGCAGGCAGCCTGACCTAGAATGAAGCAAAGCCTTCCTAAGCTTTCTCTTGTATGGAGAAGCAAAGGACTGTCCACAGGTGCTTTGAAGTGACAAAAAATACACTAGTACCAGTTGTAGGCAACTTCCAGCATTCTGAAAAATCACTGATTTCTGCCAAATACCATGCCCTGAGACTGAGCATCTGAGCATGGGAGACAATCACCCACAATCCTGCAGAGAGATAGGGAGAGGGAGAGAGAGAGAACCATTGGTTCAGTTGTAATCATGTAACGTTTGGCATCATGTACTACTCGTATTGCAAGACATTGCTCGTTTATAAAGTTAAAATATATTAGAAATGTTTGCTTCTTTTGTGGAACACTCACATAACAAGTTACTCACAAACCAAGGTTTTACTGTAGTTGTAAAATTGCCTGGACTCTTCAGCAAAATTAAAAGATTGAATTAAAATCCTAAAGACACGGGGCGCCTGGGTGGCTCAGTCAGTTAAGCATGTGACTCTTGATTTCAGGTCAGGTCATTATCTCATGGTTTGTGAGTTTGAGCCCCGTGTCAGGCTCTGTGCTCGCAGTTTAGAGGCTGCTTGGGATTCTCTGTCTCTCCCTCTCTCTCTGCCCTCCCCCCAGCTCTCTCCCTCTCTCTTTCTCTCTCAAACCAAACTAAACTAATATAAAATAAGATAAAATCCTTAAGGACAATATGAACAGCGTGAATTAAATAGAGAAAAATAGGCCAGTGGGGGAAAAAAGAACTCTTATATTTGATACTAAATGTGAGAAATAGAGTGAAAAATGCTTAAGCTCTTGAAATTTTGTCTTTTGTTTGTTTATTTTATTTTAGGGGGAGTGCAAGCAGGGGAGAGAGGTGGAGAGAGAGAGAAAGAGAATCTTAAGCAGGCTCCACGCTCAGCACAGAGCCTGATGCAGGGTTTGATCCCACGACCTTGGGATCATGACTTGAGCCGAAATCAAGATGGGATGTTCAACCGACTGAGCCACCCAGGTGTCCCTGCCTTTTGTTTAAAATAAATGCCAATGACTGAAGGTTGGAAACACACTAGGTTTGAGAACCATTAAACCATAATATTTTAACCAAAATTGGGAGTCAAATGGAAGTTTATTAAAATGAAACACATTTTATTATGTATGTACTAAATGACATCTAAAAAGCAAAGGTGATGATTCACACATGTTCCTACACCTCTTGATTGACCTTTGTCATTGTTAGGACAAAGTTTAGAATTTTTCTCTGATCTGTGGTATTCTGCCACAAACACTACAGTTTTGTTGTTTATTAAAGTTGCGTGTACAGGGGTGCCTGGGTGGCTCAGTCTGTTGAGCGTCCGACTTTGGCTCAGGTCATGATCTCGCTGTCCGTGAGTTCAAGCCCCGCATCAGGCTCTGTGCTGACACCTCGGAGCCTGGAGCCTGTTTCAGATTCTGTGTCTCTCTCTCTGCCCTTCCCCTGCTCACGCTCTCTCTCTCTCTGTCAAAAATAAATAAATATTAAAAAAAAAAAAAAAGGTTGCATGTACATTCCCCATATGGGCCATTCCAGATCTTTTCCCTGATAGATACAGTCTCATTCACTTACGTTTAGGGAAAAAACATATTACAACTATTGAGAAGCCCTTACTAGATATAGGTGACATTTTACTTATGTTGGCAAACTTGGTAGTTCTCATACACTATACTCTGTAAAGGACCTTAAACTTCTTAGTTGAGGAATACAGCCTGTGTATGTTAAGTAATAATTGCATATTGTATAAATCTATTTTGGCTCTACTATGCCTGTATGAGAGTGGGGTGTTAATCACTGGATATCACAGATTCCTAGAATTGTAACTAGCACCAAATAGTCACGTATATTGTAATGAAGGGTGAAACTAAAAATAGATTTATCTGCACAGATCAAAAGATATACAACTGTTTTACCAGATTAAGGAAATTGTTTTCCTTGTCCAACAGGCAGAGCAGAACCGAGAGACATGCACATCACTGCTGATGAACACAAATGGGCTGAATGTTGGAAAACATGATGCTGCAAACACACTGATGTTTACTAGCCACTCGTTTGGACTCCGAATAAATGCTATGCAAAGAGACAAAATGGAAGAGAGACAGTAACAGCAGACGAAGGAGCTCACCAGCATCAGGATGGTTTGTGTGGCTCTGGCCTCGTGGGAGGGTCTGGGGGAAAGGCTGAGGCTGTGAATGTGTTGGACTCGCTGCTTGTGCCTGAGCAGGACAAGGACCATGGAGCCACTGGCCCACACCATGATGCTCAAAAACACAAAGTCAAAATAAAAATATATGACAGCATTTAGTGAGTCTCTAAGTTTATCTTGTGGTAGTTTAGAACAGTAGACAAATATATTTTTTAAAGTAAGGTTTTTGCTGTTCACTGGCCCAGTCATTTTCATTGGAGTGTAGATATTTAACAGGAGATGCAAGATCCAGCAGAGGAAACAGCAGAAGCCAATGCATTTTGGAGATGTTCTGAGCCCCATCACCCCAGAGATTTTAGGATGAAGCTTACTGGCCTGGTAGCCACTCAACAGGCAGGTGATGCTGAGGGCTCTGCTCACCCTGTGGACATAGAAGACAACTTTACATCCAGGGTCATCTAGGAAAGATTTCCATCCAAAAGCTGCCATGGTCTGAGGGATCCCTTTGGAGAAAAGCACCAAGTTGTTGGCTAAGACCAGTTGGTTGAGAATCAAGTCTTTGGGTTTCAACTTGTGTCCTGTGAGCAAAGTGAAGGTATAAACACCAAAGAGGAGGGAATTTCCCAGGATCCCCACTGCTGCCTGAATGAGGAAGATAATCCCCATTTCCAAGTTGGAAGAGCCCATCAATTTCAAGTGGAAATTGGTCTTAACTGGGGCAGAAGATCTGGAGGAAATCCAAAATATATGTATTACTGTCTTCATGTTTCCTGTAGGGCTTTCCATAAACCACATTTTTTCTGCATAGAGGACATTCAGAATATGTCCTTAAAAGCAACAAAAGGGTCAGATAGTGGTTATTTAAAGGAGATTTTACTATGTCACTGTAGATAAGATGTTTCTCCAAGGATGCACACTAATTGACAGCAACCTTTAGGCCTTGGGTTATTGAAGGAGGAGGGAGTCGTGGCATATTTAGACATAAACATTCACATCAACTTTATAGGCAGATGGATTTGTTTAAAATGTTTAGATACAATTGTAATTTTTATAACAGCAATTAAAATTGAAGGGTAATTTTAAGAAAATGTAGTACAATATACATATGAACTTTATCAGAGAAGAATTTTAAACCAAGGGAAAGTTCCATAAATAACTTTGAAAAGAAAACATGTAATGAATTTAATTCTCCAACAAAGATGTCATTTTATGTGGAGTGAGAATTTACACAGTTTCTGTAAATCAGAGTCAACTTGGAGGAGTCTCTGACTACTTAACACCTGTGATCACCATGGGTCACTCCTATGTTTGAACTGTAGTCGTTCAAGGGCAAAAGAGACTCATTCTATTCCCTTAATCAAAAGGGAATGGACGCCATGGAGACATGGGTAGGGGCTAAATTATGTGCACTGTGCTCTCAGAGAAAGAATATTGAAATGTCCATCATTATGCTCCTTGAGTAGAACTTTATCTGCCGGAACAAACCATGCTGTTAAACGCTACACGTCTGTGAGGGGTGACCACATTAAAAATTCCTACTGATCAGGGGATCGTGAGGTCCTTGTTGGGTAGGAAGAGTTTCAGATTTGGAGGATCATTCAAATGTCACAGTAATTTTGAAATCTGGTTCCAGGTCAGGGTAACATTGAGAATCTGAGAATATTGAAGTCCCTGATGATCTCTGCTCTCTTAAATGTGGAATCTCTAGTTCTTTTTTCTTAAGAGTCCTATCTCCACATGGGAGTTGGAGGTTTATACTCTTCCACCAATCGTTAGATATTTTAGATAAATGTAATTACGAATTCCTTTTTTTTTTTTTAACAACTTTATTCATTTTTTGAAAGATAGACTGTGAGTAGGGGAGGGGCATAGAGAGAGGGAGACAGAATCTGAAGCAGGCTCCAGGCTCTGAGCTGTCAGCACAGAGCCCAACCCAGGGCTTGAACCCATGAAATGTGAGATCATGACCTGAGCCGAAGTGGGACGCTTAACCAACTGAGCCACCCAGACGCCCCAAGAATAACTCATTACTTTCAATCTCAAAGTGACTTTAAAACATGTTTGCATACCTATACAACCCTTATTATGTGAGAAGTTTATGACCAATCCATACAAATAATAACTTTTGAGAAACTAAAAAAAAATAATTGTGTCTGTTGATTTTTATCAGGGTGTATTCAAACAAAACACCAAAACTATCAGCCAAGATTGTGAACAGGTATCCAATATCGTATTTTTAGTAAAATCATCAATTTTTTTTAAATGACTGAATAAGAATATTAATGTGATCCATGTAATTGAAAGAAGTCAACATTAACCAATGTGTATTTGACTTGAAATGTATAGAGAGATAGATATAGTTTTTTTAACTGAACAGGTTCAGATATTGTGATCAACTCCCGAGCAACTACCACCTCTGTTCTCCAGATTGTGGCCTCTAAATGCAACTTCTCACAGGGGCACCTGGGTGGCTCAGTCCGTTGAGCATCCGACTTCGGCTCAGGTCGTGATCTCACAGCTCATGGGTTCGAGCCCCAAGTTGGGCTCTGTGCTGAGCTATAAAAAACTTATAAAAAGCTTATATAGGGGCGCCTGGGTGGCGCAGTCGGTTAAGCGTCCGACTTCAGCCAGGTCACGATCTCGCGGTCCGTGAGTTCGAGCCCCGCATCGGGCTCTGGGCTGATGGCTCAGAGCCTGGAGCCTGTTTCCGATTCTGTGTCTCCCTCTCTCTCTGCCCCTCCCCCGTTCATGCTCTGTCTCTCTCTGTCCCAAAAATAAAATAAACGTTGAAAAAAAAAAATTTAAAAAGCTTATATAAAAAGCTATAAAAAACTTCTTTGAATGGGAGGCGATAAGAAGGAACTGTACTACCTCTGAAGTGTTCTTCACAATAAACTGAACTAGAACTTGAGTAAGCCACTAGCAAAAATTATACCTTTAGTGTGACTGACTGGGACAGCATATGAAGCAGTATCAGTAGGATGTAATAAGTTGATAGAACATCTTAAATTATTCTAGATAAATGATCCATTTTTTTATAAGAATAAGAAAAAGAGGGGGACTTATTAATTGCCAAACTCTTAATAGAAAAACACAAATTATATGGGGGGGAGTAAGGGAAACATGAGCTCTTATTGTTATTTAATGATATTATTGAGTAGTTATTGTAGGTATTAGAAAGGTACTCAGGTCCTCCTTATGAAGGAATCCAATCTTTACATCCCATGTCATTGTGTAGGAGTACGTTCTTGATTATTTGAGAATATAATTATATATATGATTTTTTTTGTTAAATAATCTGGTGTGGATAACGTGGGTGACAGTATAGATGAAATGACTGCGTGCTGGTAATTTAACTGTTTAAGGTGGTGATAAGTCTGTGGGCCTTATGCTGTTATCTTTCACATATATTTGAAATATTCCATTATACCAGTTTTCAAAGACATTTTCTTCTGTTAATAATATTTTCTAAGTTTTGTGTCTTTAAGGCAATATTTTTCAACCTAGACAATACACATTTTATTCTTAGCATTTCATTGTTAAATTACTTTATTCTTACCGTACTTAATTTTTTTTTCTGTCTTTAGACAGGACTCTTAAAACCAAGTGACATCTGTATCCAGAGGGAACAGATAAATGAGCAGTTTGGAAACTAAAGAAGGTAAAACCCGCCTAAAATACAGATGCTTATAAGCTTGTCAGTTAATGAAATGTATCAGATTTTCCCATAATTCTAAATGTAAGGGATCTAGCTTAGTATATAAATCACCATGATACTCAAAAGAAAGGAATCACATTAGGGAAACTCTTTGGGGCAGGTATCCAAACCAGGTCTATTTTGTATGAACCTTTGTGGAAAGTCAGTGCTTTCACTGAGATAAAAAACCTTGGGGCGCCTGGGTGGCGCAGTCGGTTAAGCGTCCGACTTCAGCCAGGTCACGATCTTGCGGTCCGTGAGTTCGAGCCCCGCGTCGGGCTCTGGGCTGATGGCTCAGAGCTTGGAGCCTGTTTCCGATTCTGTGTCTCCCTCTCTCTCTGCCCCTCCCCCGTTCATGCTCTGTCTCTCTCTGTCCCAAAAATAAATAAACGTTGAAAAAAAAATTAAAAAAAAAAAATTAAAAAACCTTATCAGTGATGGAAAAAGAGGCAGAGATCTGAAGTAAATTAATAGAAAATTAAATTCAACAAGATTTTAAAGGGAGACTTCCATAAGAAGAATGCTCTGTCTTTAAGAAATACTCTGTTTGGGAGCACCTGGGCGGCTCAATAGGCTAAGCATCAAACTCTTGATCTCGGCTCAGGTCATGATGTCATAGTTCTTGAGATTGAGCCCCACGTGGGGTTCTGCACTGACAGCATGGAGTCTGCTTGGGATTCTGTCTCTCCATCTCTCTTGGCCCCACCCCCCTCTCTGTGTGTCTCTCAAAATAAATAAATAAACTTAAAAGAAGAAGAAGGAGGAAGGGGAGGAGGAGAAGGAAGAGGAGAAGAAGGAGTAGGAGGAGAAGGAGGATAGGAAGGAGAAGGAGAAATAATGCTCTGTTTGGAGTGTCTGGGTGGCTCAGTCGGTTAAACATCTGTCTCTTGATTTCGGCTCAGGTCACGATCTCGTTGTGAGATCCAGCCCCAAGTCGGGCTTCATATTGAGCATGGAGCCTGCTTGGGATTCTCTCTCTCTCTCTCTCTCAAAATAAATAAATAAACTTAAAAAAAAAAGCTTAAAATCAGTAGTAAACAAATAGCAGAGATAGACTTATTTCCAAGACAGAAAGTCTAATATTGTAAATGATTTAATTAACACAGTGTCTTTTTCATGTAATTCAAGTGAAAATTTATAAATTTTTCTTTTTAACTATTATTTTAAGTAGTCTCCATGCCTAATATAGAGCTTGAACTCACAACCCTGAAATCAAGAGTCAAATGCTGTACCAAGTGAGGCAGCCAGGCACCCCTACGTTTTTCTAATACTACAAAACAAAAAATGTAAACATACCCAATTATATACTATATATTATATACATTCCATATTACATAATGTATTATATACCCTCTATAAATTTACACTTAAGTTCAATGAAGAGAACTTGCTGTGTTAGATACAAAGACCATTAACCACAACTTGTCATTGCTGAAGACGTACACAGATCAATAGCACAGATCAGAGTCAGTAAGCTAAAAACTGTGTTGGATGAAAGTAAATCATCAAATATTTGGGAAAATTATTTATTTAATACATGGTTAAACTACTTGGAGATTTATTTGAAATAGTAGAGGTAAATTTATTTTTTTAAGAGGTATATTTCTTGCTCTCATCTTAGAATTAAATTATACCCTATATCTTAACATAAAGATGTCAAATCTGCCATGTAAAAATATTAGAGTATATTTTTATAAATCTGTTTTGACACATCATTACCATGCGTAGCCCAAATCAGAGGCCATTTTTTTCATTAACATGAAAGTCGAGATAAGTAAAGATGTACCAGCAATGAATTAAACTTAAATACAAAGAAATTATTTAACTGTGTAGATTATAAAGGAGGACAAATAGCATGATCTCACTATAGATATTAATCGTTTAGATAATCTATTTTAAAAATGCTGGCACTGTGTATGAACAGGTGATACTCGGAAGTAAAAACATTGTAAAATTATGAAATGCTTGTTTCTAAAATAATAAAGTGAAC